ACAGATGAACAAAAGCTCTTGAGAACACATCTTGGAGCAGGCGAGCCCTGGCAACCCCCACCCCAGCTCTCATGAATAAGAAAAGTCCATAATTCATAACTGAAGTGCTGTTTTACTACTGAAACTTTTCCTTCTCCTTATTTTAGTGTCATTTTTCACAAGGCCCCTTTGTTTGGTTAAATTAATTTTTATAAGAAATGATAGGTCAAATATTTCTTTAATATTTGACTTACCAAGCACTAAAGCAGAACACAATGTGGACCCCAAAGATAGAACTTGTTTGAGTTACTTATACTCATCATGGTTTAAATGCTAAAATTAAGAATTAGCAGCAAATTACTTGAAATCTGCTACAACTCATTAGACTTTATTATTATGTGTCAGACTCAGTACTAAGCTTTTAACTATATTAACTCATAATATACCATGAAGTAACCATGGTATGTTATGAACACATGGTGATTCTAGGTCAGAAATTGTACTTTATTCCTACAGTTAGAAAAAATCATAGACTCTACATTAATCCTATTTCTGTTTCCTTGGACTCTAATTTCTCATGAATTCTCATTTGTGTTCTGTGGAATAAGAAATAAACCTAGTCTCTGCCAGTAGTTAAAGACGACAATTATTTCCTCTAGACCTCTCTCTAGAAATATAATATCCAAATGTATCAAAATTAGAAAAGACTTTTGTAATGAATTCTAGAATATTATGGTATCATACCCATGCCAGGCTTTGCTCGTTTCAACTTAAAGTAAAAACGGAGGAAAGATTGGAGCTTGGTTAATCCCTTCAGTAATACAGTTCTGTGGTTCTAAGATCAAGTGACAGACCATGACTGCGTAACTTGAAGAAGTTTTTATTAATTATTTATTTACTTTAGTTTATAAACAACAGAAATGTATTTCATATTGTTTGAAAACTGAAAAGTCCAAGACAGATCCTGGCAAATTCGGGGTCTGATGACAGCTTCCAGAGACCAAGTTTTATCTTTTATACTTTTCACTGCCTCATTTAATGGCAGTCAACTCATTTTCAAAGGGTGTGTTAAACCTGGATCTTCTCCTTCTAGCACAGACTTGTCATCATTGGTGAGAAAGGGAAGGAGAGTGTAGCAGAATTAAGATACTGTGCAGTGGACATGCCCATGGGGGCCAAGAGTGAGGCTCCTGGGGAATGGGAGCTCTCCAAGGACAGGAAACAGAAGAGAGAATAGTACCTGTCTGAAATCCCACCTAATTCTGGTATTTATCCCCTGCTTCCAGGGAAAGTCCAGTGAGAAGCCAGTTTTGCACAAAATATTAAACTCCAATAAAAACACTGCACAGAGCTTACAAAATCACATATACTGGAGAAAGCCTACTTAATGTAGAATCACTTATCAGTTACTCAGGCATCAGGCATTCATTGAACATTTATGGGTTGCCAAGCATGGGGCTAGGGCCCCAGTCTCCATGTTAGGGTATCCCAACCAGTAATCAAGAAGACTTCTAATCCTCCTCCTCCCCATTAAAAAATATATTTTTTAAAGATTTATTTATTCATGCCTACAGTACTGGGGTAGAGGCCAGAGGTGTGGTGGGTGAGAGGATTCACCAGACACAGAGTGAGGAGCAGAAAAGGTGGATCTACTGACATACACTGCTGAGGGAAGCAGTGGGCCGGTCAGGAGAAGTCTATTGGCCGGGGATCGAATTCGTCCTGCAGTGGCTTCTGAGAGCTTCTAGTGCAGTGCTTTAACTGGTTGCACTGCCAAAGAGAGCCCCCATTCTTACCATTTTAATGACAAAAAAGCAGTGAATCAGCTTGAGCTGCTGGTGACAGTCCTCCAGATAACACACCCTTGCTCTGAATGCCAGCACTTTGCTTGTTACCCCTTTTGGATTCGTCTGAGACACCATAAGTCGTAAGATTTGCAAATTACAGAAGCCAGGGAGCTGACCAATCCGCAAAGTGTATACTGACACAGAGGGGAGTCTCAGCTCTTTAGTACAGAATATGTGGGAGCTCTTCAGGGACAGATGCTGGGTCACGTGTCCTGTTTTTTTCATGAGAACCTGGAAACTAGCACTGAGCCCTTGGGAGACCCAGCAGCGTTGCGTGTGGACTAACACAGCAGCTTACGTGACTGTGGACTTGCATGAAGATGCAGAAGAGTTTCGTGGGTGGGGATGACGCTCCTCACCTCATGTACATCCAGGTGTATGTTCTTGCGTCTGTTTCTCAGTATTGTTGCATGAGCCCTTCCGTATCTATGTCTGTGCCAGAAATGTAAAGAAGGCGCAAATGGCTCTATGAAACATTTTATTGGCTGTGTCATCTACCTGTTTTATATGAGTCTACTTTAATAAGGCGGTTAGACGAGCTGTCCGTGGGCAGAATAGGTCAGTAAACTCAGCAGGAGAAATGGCGAGTGGAGCGTATTGTAAGATCTGATTGCCACCAAAATGCTATAATCCTGCTTTAAAAAATTTAATAGAAGTGCTGAGACATCCCTTAAGGTGGATTAATGTGCATGCAGTTGTTTCAAAACAGTATCAAGGTCGTCTCTGTTAACTACTTGTGATGTTTCATCTTTGAAAGGATAATGTATAGAAATAGCATTAGCCTAAAAGATGTGGCGTGACAGGTGGTACTTGCCCAGAGACTTACAGATCAAAAAGCCCCATAGCTTGCTCCAGTGTGAGCTCAGTGAGAATTTGTTCATTGTTTCCAAAGACTCACATTTATATGATTCTATCAACGTCAAACTTATAAAAAGCCATTATCAAGGAAGTGTCGGTAGTCATCCGCTTCGGTTGGTTTCCATTCATTGTCAGTGACCAGATTTCAGCAGGGATGGCGGGGCCTGGCCAGGCTGGCCTCGGGGCCATGAGCGTGGGGGAATGCAGAAGGAGATGGCTCTGTAAAGTAGGAAGTATCGGGGCTCCGGACGCTGCGGTTCGCACGGCCACACCTTCTGCACCCACATCTCCAAACGTGATGTTGCTCCAGAAGCCCCTGTGGCCTACCCACTGCCATGACCAGCACTGCAGGGCTCCAGCACGACCACTGAGACCTGGACCCCAGGGTCCCTCCCAGTGGTCTTTGGTCCTGCTGATTGCATTAGCTGGACAGCCGAGAAGTCATGTTCTTGTACTAGGCAGCTGAGCAGTGGCTGGTCCTAGCGGACCCCCATTCTGTGTTCGGCCTTAAGCTAAAGCCACTGCAGCACAAGTTCGATCCCCACCCCGGAGGTGACCCACAGGTGCGGCAGACCTCTGCTGGCCTGCCCGCTGCTCCCCTCAGCAGTGTACTTCATTGATCTGCCCGTTCTGCTCCTCGCTCTGTCTCTGGTGAATCCTCTCACCGCCCCTGTCCCTCTGGCCTGTACCCCAGTTCTGTATGCATAAATAAATACATCTTTTTAAAAAAGGTAAATTTATAAAGAAAATTAATATTTAAGTAAAATGAACAACTGCAGCACCCAGGGGCTAAGATTCAAGAGGAAGCCCCTCGGTGGTGGGATCTGGGGGACAGTGGTGTGTGCACTACGTGGTGATACCTGGAGGGGCATCAGAATAGTCTGTCTATTAAAGATAAATTAATAATAAAAATGATAGAACAATCAAATCTCTACACTGCGCTTCCTTCCTTTTCCATCTGAATGAGCTTTTGTTTGTGATGTACTTTACATCTGTTTAAATTAATTACTTCCCATTTCCAAAGCGACCAGACTTTGAATAATTGGATCAGAAAACAACTTTACAAAATAGTGTCTTCCTTGGTCCAAGAAAGAAGAGCAGATTTGCCTTTACTGGCTTGTTTGTGTACAGCTAGCAAAGTTGACACCATTTATATGCTGGTAGAACCCAGGGACCATGCAACTCAAGTTTTTATTATATTGTTATGTGTTACCTTTCATTATATTGTTGTGTGTTCTGAGTTATGTGTTACCTTTTCTAGGACTATAATAACATTTTTTTTAAGATTTATTAATTTAATCATACAGGACTGGGGTACAGGCCAGAGGCTCAGGGGCGGCGAGAGGCTTCCCCAGAGACAGAGCGGGGAGCAGAACAGGCAGATCGACGAAATACACTGCTGAGGGGAGCAGCGGGCGGGTCAGGAGAGGTCTGCCGTGCCATGTGGTCACCTCCAGAGCTGGGATCAAACTCATGCTAAAGCAGGTGCAGCGAGCTTCATGGTGCTGTGTTTAACCTTTTGCATCACCAGGGAGGGGCCCAAATAGTATTTTGTTTTTGAGTCAAACACTTTCATTGCAGAGGAATTAAGTACAAACTGATACAACCACCACAAGGGGCATTTGCCATGCAACAACTGGTTTCTTATAGGTTTGGTAAGATCTGCTTTCAAACTTCATGTCCATATAAACTTAGACGTAGCTGTCATGTTTTGTAAAATTTTCAACGACTTTCTTCAATGCTGTGCTATGTGATTTATTTCTGAGGGGTTGGATGTTAGAACTAGAAATTTGCAGTACCGTCAGAGATTATAAAACGGCTATTTAATGTTTGAAAAAACCCTCAAGACAAATTAATGCCATCTTGCAAAATATTTTTTTAGTGTTATTGCAGAGCTTTAAGGCAATTAGTTTTTGGCCTTTTAATCACTTTGTATGAAAGGGGCATTACGTTTCCACTTGTGAAAAAGTAAGACAATTGCACTAACAATCTCTGTTCCAGAAACTGGACATTAACTTATTTCTGTCTGGCATCAAAAGTGGTATATAGTTGTTCTTTTATTTCCTTCTTTTGAGAAGTTCTTAGGTATTTCTTAGTGGGGGAGAAAAGGTCGAAAAATTTCCTAAATCCAGATTTCTAATAAATACTGATCCTTTTGCCTCTGATTCACAGCCATTGAAAACAGTCTTTGAGATCGCATCAGCTTTGAGTAATGCAAATAGAGAGAACAATGGATTCTGGTCTGTTCTATGATTACTGTGTGAGATCTGCGGTTGTTGCCACACATCTAAACACCTTCTCTGCTTCTCCTCCCAGAATGGACTCAACGCTCTCCACCTGGCGGCCAAGGAGGGCCACGTGGGGCTGGTTCAGGAGCTGCTGGGCAGAGGGTCAGCCGTGGACTCCGCTACCAAGGTAGAGTCCATGCTGCTAAAACTCATTTTCCGTAGAAAAGAGTAAACAATGTAAACCTCCTTTCCTTGGTTAGACGTATCAGAGGTTTGCCAGGACACCAAATTTATTAATGCAGAGCCGAAACTGAAGTGCTTTTCATTAAGTTTTGTAGTGTTTGAATGGTTTCATTTATAGACTTAACAGGAGACTCAAGAAATCTATCAATACAGTTTCTAATATTTTATCTTCATTCCTTTGATTCACATAGAGGCTGATAGACATAATCATAATCTCGTACACAATAGCATCTTTTTACAAAAAGGTTTACTCACTTAAATATACATGGATGTGGTCAACTCTGAAAACGGAGTGCTCTTCATCCTTTGATTAAACTGTTACTTTTAATATATTTATTTAACTTGGCACGAGAATATACAGAATCCTTTATAGTCTAAGGGCATAGGCATTTTAGATCAGGGATCGAATTGTTACTGTAAAATTAGGTCTTGTCACTCTAGTGTGTGTTTGTAAAGAAATTAGTCTCCTTTTTAAAGAAATGGACAGGGCCCACTGGGGATGGTGGAACCTTGATGCTTTCTTGTTACTGCTTTGGCTAAAGTATATCTGAATCTCATCGTAAGGACTCACTTCAAAAGCAGCAGACATATTTTAAAAAATATCCATGTTGACAGGTGTTTGTCTTTAGAAGGTGAAATTTTCATTTGGAGAATATAGTAGTCATAGTCAAATTTGGAACAAAGTGACCAGGAAAGGAGTGTGATGATTAACATGGTTGTGGGAGACCAGGGTCCCAGACACAGTGGCAACACCAGCCTCACTGAGACACACACACCACAGCTGCTGGGAAAGCGGCCATGGCCAGCTAGCTTCCCTCACGGCCCCTCCCCCGCGATCACGGAGACGCAGGTCGTTCCTGCTCACCGTAAAGCACGCGCACATTCTGTGGGTAATTAAAAACAAAAGCAAACACCTCTGGCAGTTCCAAAGATGTTAAACTAAAAGTCCACTGTACGCTGTAAACTCCTTGCTTGGAACATAAGAAGAGCGTAGTCCTCTGTCAACACTGCTGTGACCACATCAGGTGAATTTTGAAGGAGTCTTTAAAGAGCACTTTGTGTATCATGTGATTTGCTTCCCCGGAGTTGTTCACATTAATATTAGTATATTCACTTAAATGGCCAGGTATGGTTGCTGTGGAGTGCATTGCTGCCTTTTCCTGTAAATGCTATCGATATTTTAAAATATGGGTTCACTTTTAATTATAAACTTAATGGAACAATTGTAGATCCAGAAGAAAATATTTAGAGCTCCTCAGTTAAAGAAAAGGCACCAGCATCCTCAGGATAGCATGTGAACTGCCAAAGATTCCCACACAGAGCTGGTGGCCAAAATAAAACTAGTAGCCAGAATGCGCACAGCTGAATCTCTAGGCTCCAGTGAGGTCCATTTGTTGTTTTATTATTCATTTCAATCACATCACAGGCACTTATTAGTGTCCTAGCCTATATTTTATTTCTATGAAAAGATGAAATGACTTTTCATTTGTTTTTGATGCTATGGGTGTGAATTCTGATGTAGGAAATGGTAGAAATCACTGATAACAGTGTGATTCATGTAAAGACTCTGATTTTATTCCCAAAATATTTTGTGCAACAACCATGTGCTCTAGTATCTGAAAATATAGCTGAGTTATTTTTTTACCACTAACAATGCCTAAGTTCTTCTAAAAAATGAACCTTATGGTTCTGTAATTTTTTATTTTAAGCTAGCTGCTCCTTGAGATAGGATTCTTCAGTTGTTAAATCCTGCAAACAGTGCAGTTTTTTCCTTTTTCTCTTACACGTGCGTATATATATATACACACACACACATGCACGCTTGCACACTCATCCCAAATAATTTGATTCACTGAGAAGTAAGTCTGTGTAATACCATGACCCCAGAATTGTGAGCAGAAAATAGAAAGGAAAGACACGGAAGAGATGGCTGATATCTGACAGTAAGAAAAAGATCACTTTGCAATCATCACTACCTTAATAGAAGTTTTCCTACCTTAATAGATTTACCCCTAACTTAATTCACAAGCAGATTTTAGCCACACACCTAGGATTCTGTCCAAAGGTCACAAAAACACTAATTCGAAAAGAAACCCACATTCTTATAGTTAGTGCAGCACTATTCACAATAACTGAAATATGGAAACAACCTAAATGCCCCCAAACAGACACCTGGATCAAAAAGATCTGGTCTATATGCACAGTGGAATATTACGCGGTGATCAAAAAGACAAATTTATACCTTTTGTATATGCACAGTGGAATATTACCCAGTGACCAAAAAGACAAATTCATGCCTTTGTGTATGCACAGTGGAAATATTACTCAGTGATCAAAAAGACAAATTCATACCTTTTGTGGTAACACGTCCTGGAAAGGATTATGCTAAGTGAAGTAAACCAGATGGAGAAAGGTAAACATCAGATGGTCTCACTTATATGGGGAATAAAGAAGAACCAAATAAAGGGTCAGGAAAAGGACAAAACTGGCAAGCTGACTGCAGATCTGAGGCTTACGGTCAGGGCAGGAAGGTGAGAGGTCAGAACAAAGGAGGGAAGAGCACAAGGGGCCGTGGTGATGGGTCATGAGTGCCTTAAGGGGGGAGAAACTACGGGTGGGGCCCCAGAGAGGGGCCATCAAACACTGCTGAAAAATGAACATGATGCAAGATTTAATTAATCATTGACTTCAGCAGATTTACTTCTACACAGTCTGGAGATGTCTGATATTTCTTCCTCTGCTTGCTCCACACAGAAGGGGAACACCGCTCTGCATATTGCATCATTGGCCGGGCAAGCCGAAGTCGTTAAAGTCCTCGTTAAGGAGGGAGCCAATATTAATGCTCAGTCTCAGGTATTTCGTTCACATTTTTTCGAATTAATAATTGTGAACTGCAACAACTTTGTGAGATCAATTTAATGAGTTCTGCCACCTCACTATAGAGACGTCTGTGATCTATTAGCCAACTTAGTTTGTTCGCTCATGCAGCGGCATTTTTAATATATTTTTTGATGCTGCTCTCACTTAATGTAACTGAAAATTAGATCTATACACACTATATCATTCCCTTCAAGGGCATTTAGAAGAATGTGAAGTTTTTTTGTTTTTTTTTTTTTTCTCCCCAGAATGACAGCAACATCTGTGAAATTTGAATTATTCATGCAAGTTTTGTATTGTTCTATAAAAGTATTTTCTCTCCTTAAATTTTAACAATTCTCAAAAAGATCAGCATGCCGGTGGGAAATCTGCTGTAAAGTGGGAATCACACTACTTTAGTTACTTCACACCCCAAATGTGGGCTTTACAGAACTCCCAGGTAAACAGGAAAATTTGAGACCCAAAGCCTTATGATGCACATACTGTAATAGCAATTGTACACAGTAGGAAGTGAAACTGAGATTCTTAAAGTGAAATGAGACAGATTTTTAATCATACTGTAAAGCTGATCTCTGTTTTATGTGGTAGAACGGGGAGAAAAGGCTGCTTTGCCTAAAGCTTAATTCTTGGTATGCAGTTACTTTTTTTTAAAGATTTATTTATTCATGCATATAGATCTGGGGTACAGGCCAGAGGTGTGGTGGGTGAGAGGATTCACCAGAGACAGAGTGGGGAGCAGATGAGGCAGATCCACTGACATACACTGCTAAAGGGAGCAGCGGGTGGGTAGGGAGAGGTCTGCTGTGCCCTGTGGGTCACTCCCTGGCAGAGGATCGAACTCGTGCCACAGTGGCTGCAGACGGCCCCACAGTGCTGTGCTTTAACCCGTTTTGGCACCAGGGACAGCCAGTTTCTCATAACTTCTCAGGCAGTGATGGTGGTGCTGGCCCAGAGACCACCTCTGAGTGCTGTACAGACTATAGAAAACTTGGGCATAAGAATAATACTTGATTCACTACATAAGGATTCAAAAGCATGACTGGTCAGTAAGAAGCATGGACATAAATGCCTACTTTGGGGTCCATTGCCCATGGGAGGTTTGCTTTGGTGGGGCTCACACTTGCATCACGTTGTTAATATCTCTAGAAAGAGCTTGGTTATTTTTCTCAAAATGATGAGCTGAACATAATGGTTTCAAAAAAACATACCACTTGTTTTAGTGTTTGTGCAGAGATTATTGGAAATTTATGTATTTTGGAGACTTTTCAAGAAGATCAAGCTGGGTAATTTTCTTTCAGATTCAATGAGCTGTTTTTGATAACCATAATCATATTGTATTTGAACAGATCTTAAAAGAACATGTATGTTATCATTAAGAGATTAAAGTACTTTTTATTTCTCCCATGTACAATTAGCTCCATTTAAGACTTCTGTTGGAGGAGATCTTGTGAGGGAGCTTTAACAATCGTGAGAAAATGTTAACGTAAGAGACTTTTGCAGTTACAACCTCAGTTGTTTTCAAATGCCTAAGTCATTTGATGAAGTCTATCACTTTATTTGGTATATTGTATTAAAGTAGACACTACTGATGAAGAAGAGTTATCACGCAGAATATTTGATGGTGCAGATGACCAACATACAGAAACTTACATTAAACAGTTTTATTATTTTGCTCCTTTCTGTGAGGCTTTAGGGCCATCGAGGGTGGACATTAGACCTTCTCCATGTGTGTTTCTCTTTGGTCAGGCCAATTTAAGATACACATTTCATATGTTATAAGATTGGGCTTCAGATGGATGGGTAGGAAGTAGGTAGGTCTGTGGTCACCGGATCGTCAGTTCCTTCTGACAACTCGAAAAAAGGGAGAGGAACCCCAAGTGCACCACATACACCCTAACTTGTGAACTCAGATTATATGTTCTCTTGCATCTTCTAAGAATGTAATGGAAAACAAGCGCATAATTGTCTGTTGTGACAGCTACTTGGTGACTGTGTAGTATTTTGCCTTCATTCAAAGGCTGAGAGCTCAGGAAAAGTTGTTTTAAGATAACTGAGATCTCAGTAAAAGTTGTATGGATGGAATATTGAAGCAGAAGTCAAATTCACAATATTGGAGAAATGTTATTTGCCTTGAGGATGTTGTCTTGCTTTCTGGAGATACTTAGCCACTTTCAGAAAAGCTTTGTTTAGACATACTAACCTGTAAACATGTTTAGGGAGTAAGGTAAGTTTGCCTGGCTCTTTACAGGCACCTCCTTGTCACTTTACCAACATGTAAGCCTTGGGCTCAGAGGTTATATCTTTTTAAAAATCATGTCAATTCCACGTTGCCATCAAGGAAGTGCTGCTTTGAAAAAGTTTTAGAGATTTTTAATTTTTAATTTTTATTTATTTATGCATATTAGAGCTGGTGTTTAGGCAGGCCAGAGATGAGGAGGGTCAGAGGGTTCACCAGAGACAGAGTGGGGAGCAGAAAGGCAGATCGATGAAGTACACTGCTGAGGGGAGCAGCGGGCAGGTCAGGAGAGGTCTGCTGCACCATGTGGGTCACTTCCAGGGCGGGGATCGAACTCCTGCTGCAGTGGCTACGGGCAGCTTCATAGTGCTGCACTCCAATGTGTTGCACCACTAGGCAGGGCCCGCAGTTTCAGTACTTTGAAGACATAAATATATTTTCTCAAATACGGTTTGTGATCACTTGTATGGTGGCCTTTTTCTTACATATGTTATAGTGTTCTCCTCTTGTAATTTTTGTGGAATTCCTTTAGTGAGGACTCCAGAAACAGTTTATCTGTTCATCTTATGTTAAAGGTGATCTCAAGTCAGGTTTTGTATTCCTGGTACCCTATTGTATAGACAATTTTGTTTCTCTCATATCCTTTTGTCAGTTTTATGCTCACTATCCTTTGTCCAGTCCTGGAAATTTTATTCCAAAAGACTGTCTGCATTGGAACAGATTCTTGATTAGTCTGTTCTTTAATGGGCATTCACATTTTCAGACCATGACATTTAATTCCAGTTGCAAAATGTCATGACCATTGATTACACCCCCAGAATTTTGAGGGCGCACACTCCCACTATATGCAAAGAGCATGTCTTTTCCAGGTGTAGCTTCCAATGGTTTCGTGCCTTGGCCCTCACCGTTGTCACAAATAATTTGAATTAGGCGGTGAAGAGGAAGGAAGCCTACACAGTTGGCCAGCCTGCCCGTCACACGAATTGTTTCCATATGGCTGCAGAGCATCCTTGGCTGTGGAGGCAGAAACTCATACTAATGGAACATTCCATTCTCACACACACACACACACACACAGCATATAAAATGGAAATTGTGATCGAGATTCAAAAAAATAGGTTTAGCTTTCAGCTTTTGTTTTGTTCCACTTTTAGACATATATTTCCTTTTTTATATGATACTGGTCGGTCTTTTTTTCATTGGCAGACATTACTACGGTAAATCATATTGTCTCCAGTGAAGATGAGGCACGTCCTTACATTTGACAGGGGTGAGAAGTTAGAATTCCGTGTTGTTGTTTTCACTGCAAAGTCACATGTCACGTGATCACCAGCTTGGAAGAGCGTCTCCGTTTCTCGGCATTCTAAATCAACAGAGAGAGTGTGTGCTTTCCCTAATTTGCCACTCTGATTTCTTGGGGAAATGATGAGAATTGTTGTCTTTAAAATTTTGCAAAGAATGCAATCACTGTCCTTTATTCAAAGCAAACTCCAGTATTAACACACACACACACACACACACACACACAGAGCTGCAAAGACAGGACAGTTGTTTTCATAGTAAAATCAAGCACTTTATTTTTGAAGTAAAATTGATGCACTAATATTTTGCCTTTATGCTCATTTATCTGGGAACAAGTTGAACAAGATCTGTCATTTTGTCTTGACACTTGAGGGAAAGGTGTCATCGATGTCAACACTCCTCCTCTTTGGCCAATGTCCCTGGCATTTAAGGGACACCAACCTATCAACTCTGGATTGCATTTTAAAAGAACTAAACTTGTAGTAAGGTAAAGACAGGAAGAAGAGACTAATCTCAGAATCTCTCTCTCAATAGAAATAGAATTCCAACTGTGCTTTTTCTGTCCTTCTGAGTTGAGAGAGGCTGAGATTCTCTGGCAGCTGATAGTCAAGAGGGCACCAGGCCGCTGCCCCCCCCGCCCCCCCCTCCGTCTCCCAGCACAGCGTGGCCACCCACAACCACCGGGAGGATCTCAGAGCAGGGATCCTTGCAGCAGTTACAAAACAGAGAGAAAAGTAAACACATAACATTAAGGGCCCCCCCTGGTGTGGCAGTGGGGTAAGGCACAGCACTACAAAGCTGTCCACAGCCACTGCTGTACAAGTTCGATCCCTGGCCAGGGTGGTGACCCACATGGCGCGGCAGACCTCTCCTTTCTCTCCTGCTGCTCCCCTCAGCAGTGTACTTTGTCCATCTGCCTGTTCTGCTCCCCACTCTGTCTCTGGGGAATCCTCTTACTACCCGACCCCCACACCTCTGGCCTATA